TAAATAGTAAATAGTCAATTTGTAGTTTAATTATATGTATAAATGTAGACATATAGAACGTTAGTATGTAGAGTTAGGTTTTGAGAAGTACTTTGTTTTAGTGGATTTCTGTCTTTCGGCTTGTTTGTGTTGTGCTCTTAGTAAGTTTGGAACTTGCTAAGTAGCTAGGAAAATTAGTGTATTAGTATCATTAGTGTGTCTGGAACACAACGTGAGGATATTTGTTTGTAACTTTTATGGTGCCTTTTGTGATAATAAATTAGTTAGTTCATTTCTTGTTAATGATTATGGTCCTCTGCTAAATTGGCTACGTATATCAAAAGTCTCTCCCTTGACTGTAATAATATACAAGCAATGCTGATCGTGACCTAGGTCACGATAAAGAATTTGATCCGTCTTTTATTTCTAGTAATTTTGGGATCGGATTTGAATAATTTTGGCACTATTTGAATCATATTAATAGGATAATTTGAATGGTAATATTAAAGATGGATCAAATTCTTTATCGTGACCTAGGTCACGATTGAATTATAATTGTAAATTAAACATACTTACCCATGGTTTTACTAGAAAAAAAATTTATATACAAGAAATGCTGATCGTGACCTAGGTCACGATAAAGAATTTGATCTATCTTTTATTTCTAGTAATTTTGGGATCGGATTTGAATCATATTAATAGGATAATTTGAATTGTAATATCAAAGATGGATCAAATTCTTTATCGTGACCTAGGTCACGATTGAATTATAATTGTAAATTAAACATACTTACCCATCGTTTTACTAGAAAAAAAATTTATATACAAGCAATGCTGATCGTGATCTAGGTCACGATAAAGAATTTGATCTGTCTTTTATATCTAGTATTTTTGTGATCGGATTTGAATAATTTTGGCACTGTTTGAATCATATTAATAGGATAATTTGAATGGTAATATCAGAGATGGATCAAATTCTTTATCGTGACCTAGGTCATGATTGAATTATAATTGTAAATTAAATATACTTACCCATGACTTTCTAGAGAAAAAATTTATATACAAGCAATGCTGATCGTGACCTAGGTCACGATAAAGAATTTGATCTGTCTTATATATAAATAAATTTACGATCATTTTGCTATATCGATACTAATCATTGATTTTATACATATATAAATAGGGTCCTTCCAAAGTAGAGTTCGCCAGGGCGACCCCCAAAAGTCCGGATCAGGTGATCCGCGTGCCACCACCATACTTACGTACGTATGTACATATTTATACATGCTTTATTATATACAGTGTTTAAGAAATTTTCACAACAATAAAGCTGCATGTAGGAGCTAAACGATTCAGTAATTTTTTAAGAAATTATGCAGTGGCTATGGCTGATCCGGACTTTTGGGGGTCGCCCTGGCGAACTCTACGTACATACGTACATACGTATTTCAAACTAATTTACCGAGGTGTCAATACAGTAGTTTCGTTGTCAGATTAGTGTTACAAAGTAAATATATAAATCTGCACGAGATTATTACTCAAATGCATTCCATAATATTGCACGAATTTGTTGTATAAAGATGTTTCAGATAGATAAACAAATAATATAAATTTTACAGATAGTCAATGATAATTGAAATTGTTGAAACTGTTTAAAAAAGCCATCAACCGACTTTTTTACAATTTTTAATCCGGAATTGTTTCTTTAATTAGAAACGCCAGCAATTCAATGTTTTTTATTAGTATTTTGTAATATCATACATAAGTAATTTATCGTCTGAAAAAATAAAATTTAAATATGTTAGTACTTATTTCATTTATCTGTTGTTTGAAATAATAAGTTATTGAAACTAATCGCATGATTTATTTGATTTTTAGGAATAATAATCCAATATTAAATAATTTGGATGGCATTCGTCTAGAATTAGTATATGATGTGATAAAAGAAGCTTCATTTACTTATCAAAAAACTTCATTTACAGATCCTTTGCCTCTTGAAAAGGTATTACAGTTCTTTCAAGATCATAAACTGCCAACTTTCAAAGAAAAGGTATATTGTATGAGAGAAAAAATGATAGCTTAATAAAGAATAAATCCAATTGGTTAAAAACACAATGCATACATTGTCAGACTGACCTCACTTCAGATAGTGCTTGTAAACTTTGTTTTCAATATTACCTTCGTAGTAAATTCTGAATGGACATCTGGAGATGAAGAACTCGATGAAATAATTCGGTATTTTCAGATAAATTATCCTCTTGCCGGATTTGCCGAAGTGATTGAATGGGTATCTTACACAAAATTTAATGATATAGTGTTTATAGCTCAAGGCGGATTTGGTAACATTTATATCGCTACATGGGTCGATGGTCCAAGAGTATATTGGGATGGTTACAAACAAAGATCTATAAGAGATGGACCCAGGAGTGTTGTTTTAAAATCTATGAAAAGTTCAAATCATCGTAATGAATTCATTAGAGAGGTTTGTATTTAATAAAAAATAATAAATTTGTTCGAAATTTACTCCCTTACATTATACTATCATATTTAATTTTCAGGTAATGACTCACATTGCATTCACTATGAAATCTCCTGGTATTGTTGGTTTAACTAAAATTCCGGAACAAAATAATTATATGATGATATTAGATTATCAAGAAGATGGTGATTTAAGATCATACTTAAATAATAAAGATATTAAATTAACATGGAAAGAGAGATATGAAGTACTTAAAGATATAGCAGATTCTCTTTATCTTATTCATACCAACGAATTTATGCATGGAGATCTTCATCCTGGAAATATTTTTAAAAAAGGAGAACTGTGTTGGCTTATTGGCGATTTTGGTCTTGCTATAAACAAAGACTCGGATTCGACTAGTGAAATATTAGGAATTATTCCTTATGTAGCTCCTGAAGTTTTGCGTGGAGAAAAATATACAAGAGCTGCAGATATATATAGTTTGGGAATAATAATGTGGCAACTTGTTACTAGATGTGATCCATTTTTAGATCGAGAATATTACGAACAACTTGCAAAAGATATTATCATAAATAATCTTCGTCCTCAGAAAATTCGTGGACTTCCTTCTGACTATGAAGAAATTATTGAAAGATGTTGGGACCCTAATATTTCAAATAGGCCGAATGCTTCATATCCTTATAAAACTTTTAGAACAAGTTTAAAAAAATTTTATGAAGGCGAGTTAAATATACCAGAACCAGATATTGCAAATATTGCACTTCCTAATAATATGATCTCCAGAGTTATAGATACAGGTATTTAATCTGTTACTTTATTAAATCGATTTTATTATTATATTTTGTAACAATAATATGAATTTATTCTAATAGAAAAAATTAAAGAAATCATACACACTAATCAATCAAACCATACCAATACAGAAAACTTAGATATTTTTTGTCAAATTCACATTAGTAATTAATTACAGAAGGTTTTTATTTATTTTACTATATATATAATTTCATATTCTATGAGGTGTTTTTTTTTTCGATTTTAACATAGGAGTCCTTAGGGCGCCGGTGGCGCACTTTATTTTATGAAGTAATTTAACCTTTCTATACTAACTAAAAGTTTACAATTATTATCTGATGGTTGTCACTTAAGCACTGTCACCTATTAATGGTTCAGTAATAAAGATAATTATTTAGTTCTACTCAGATAGTGTTAAAAGTCGTTTGAGGCAGCCACAGCTAAGTCGGTTTAGCCGGCGTTACGATAAATTTTTCAATTTCCTTTGCATGTATATTTCTTTTATTTTTTTTCTATATGTGTCATTTGATTCGTTACACTATGTAGTATTCGGATATGTACGGGATTGGGACGGATCCGGGTTTAAGACCCAAGTTCTGGGTTGAAACCCTTGCACATCCAAATGTATAAATGTGGCGCTTAATTTAATAAATATAAGACACTCTCCCCGTCAATCATGCCGAGTTTTAACTCTGATGGTTGACATAAGAGAAGATAGGGGTTCTGATAAAAATAGGAACTCGTATGTCATGGTTATTAGGAATTTATTATATAAAAGAATGTATATTTATGTATTCTTTATTTAAGGAAGATTTCAGAGTGCATACGTTAGATAATGAAAGAAGTGCAAGGGCAACCCTTTATATACTTTACAGAAACTTTAATCTAATTATTATATAATAGTCATATAACTATCATATAGCAGATATTAATAAAAATTAAAATATAATAAATATATCATAAAATAAATATATTATAAAGGCAAAAAGACAATAGAGACCCGTCTCCATGGCGACCCTACGTATAGCAGCCAATCATATTTAGGGTTCAAAAATTTTCTTTTGTATTTTTTTTACTATAAAAGTTATAAAATTTGTAAAAAATTTTTATTGGGCGATAATAAGCAATATATTATATAGTCACATGCTTAATTTTGATTGGCTATTCATATAGAGTCGCCATGGCGACCCGTTGCCATAAACTAATGCCCTATTATAAAAATATAATAAAAATATAACAAAATTTTTTTGTTTATTTTAAGTTAATTTTAATGTTATGTTTAATTAATGAATTAATGTAAATGTATCCGTAGAGTACATTAAATTTTTGGTACTTTTAATTTTGATCACATAATATTACATACAAAAAGTAATACCAATTTTGTTTATATTAGTTTAGAGTTAGAGTGAGAGCTATATGGGTTACTGTTTAGGTAGTTATATAGTAAAAACACTCAAAAAAATTTTTTATTAATGTACAGAAGGTGGTTTAGTATACAATTTTTTGTAAAATTAGCCATTTTTGTCAAAATAATTGTGTAATATTATACCTGATTTTTAATTTTATGGTGATCTATATAGGTTATGATGTGAGTACATGTGTTTTAGAATACAGTCAAACCCTTTTATAGTCACACTTTCAAGATATAAAAACTATGATTATAAAGAGATGTAACTAATATAGAGATATTTTCTATATAGTTATAAATAATTGGTAAAAATAAATTAGTAATTATAAAAAGTGTGATGACTTAATGTAGTTGGTAAGTTGTCACATCTCTAAGCGGCAGGACAAGAGTTTGAATTCCACTAGTGATGAAATTCGAATTTATGGAATGTGTTATAGTAAAACTGTATGATATATTGATCAGATAAGCATCTGTGACTTTGGTTGCACCAGCTTGTACTGGGAGGTTGTGAAATATTAGTGTAATATATGAATTACACAAAATCTGAATGAAACAGCCAAATAAATTCAAGAGATTGGGTAATACAGAAGCTTGCTTGGAAAGTTTTGAGTAAAGAGGTAACACAAATCTTTGATAGTACTACATAAAGAATTATCATTTAGGGAACTGATCACTAGCAGTAAACTGAATGAGAACTGAGTATTTTTCAAGCATTACATTAACCAGGTTGTCAGATCAGCTGGAAGAAAGGATTCAATTGAAATATCAGTAATGCCCACTGGTTCCTTCTGGACTATCTAAATTGGAAGTTTGGGCATTGTTAGTTGGCACCAAAGTACTGTTGATAGTCTGTAAAGTGGGTACTGGGGTTTGGGTGAACTTTGCAAAAGCACAAAGTAGGTAACAATAGCAGAGGTAAAAAGTCACAAGTACTTGGCTGTGGCCTAGATATAAGTTTTTGAAAACCTTGATGATACATGTGTGAGACATGGACTGTTCTAGTAGATTTACTATAAGAATAAAGTAATCCTAAAAGGCCTTAGTAGCAGTTTCTCTTTGGGAAGAATATCTGATAGCACTAAGCTGATCAGAGGGTTTAATTGGATACCTCAAGTAATAGTGGGTTATAGATTTAGTATAGAATCTAATACTTAATTAAATATTCAAAAGCTGAAAATATGGTTAGAATATATTTTCATTAATATAACAAAGTCAGATGTAGCCCATATGATTGCTCTGATATTTGATTTAAATTTCAATAAAATGTGCCAAACTCTAAAGTAGTCATCTTAATATTAAAAAAAATAGTAATTATACTAATTTTGTAACTATAGAGGAGGTGACTATAGAGGGGTTGACTGTATATATAAATAAACTTTTAATTAATATATAATAATTAAAATTTTATCTTTTTTTGCCTATATGATTTAACACTACTTATAAGATCATGTATAATGTAAAAAATTAAATAATAAAAAAATTATATATTAATTGGTAATTTGCTAGTCAACTAGAGAAGATCTGCAAATTTTTATAAGTAAATTTTATTATAGGCTTGAATGTGAAGTGCTCCTATTTAAAACTTTTGTTTACTAAGTAAATTACTCTTAGACTTCTAATGAAAGTTGTAAAGCTTATCAAGACACATCTAATAATAGTAAGGATATTAAAATCAGCCTAATAGTTCTTGAGAAATCTTTAAAAAACTTTTCATTAATATATAAAATTTTTTTTAAAAAAATTAATTTTTTTAAAGAAATTTTATATATCAATGAAACATTTTTTAAAGATTTTTTATTTGATAAGTTCTACAATTTTCATTATAAGCTCAAGAGTAATTTACTTAGTAAGAAAAAGTTTTAAATAGAAGTGCTCCACATTTGATTCTATAGTAAAATTTACTTATAAAAATTTGCAAACATATGGTCTAATTTGAGGAATTGCAGATATCTTTTGATCTACTGATTTGTTTTGGATGATTTAGCTACCAAAATATTCATCTCAATGAGACGATTTTAACAAGCCTAAAATCGTTAAGATCCAATCACGGGATCCTGAGATCATTCAGGTTTTAAGTGATTTTAATAAGAGATTTTAGAATTACTATGTAAATATGTTTGATAGTGAATAACTTTTGATC